CTGCCTTCCCCACAGTCCCCCCTCCCCCTCCTGTTGCTGGCACAGGTAGCAGAGGGGCCATCTTCCTGTCTTTACAGGCAGGACAAGACTACTCCTCTGGCTTCTGGGAGCCAGCACTCTCTGGGAGCACTCTGGGTCTGAGTGTTCTGGTGTCCTTCCCCATAGCCTCCCCTTGGTCTCATCTGCAGTTTCCTGGGGAGGCTTGTGAGCTCCCAAAGCCCACAGCAGGGGAAAGAGTTGGGTGTAACTGTTAAGTAACCCTCATCTGAGCTGTGTAGATTGTCCACAATCCAGACAAGAATGTCCAACCCTCTGCTCATGACTGACTGCCTAGAACCACCAGGCTGCCCTGCAGGGTCTGGGAAGCAGAGCAGGAGAGGAGGCAGATAGCAGAGAGAATGCCAGCGGCATGTGGTGCTCCGAGTGTCCCACAGTCAGAATCTGGGTTGTGGTGCCCTGATTTGCTCATCCCAGGAAGGCCATTCACACGGCCTCAGATACAAATGATACTTTCTCTGTATAGCCAAGTGAAGGCCTCAGATTCAAATCATACTTTCTCTGTATAGCTAAGAGAAGCAAGCCCGTAGCAGTCTTTGTGTGTTCTATGTAAAACCCAGATGTTAGGTGTGAAAGATAAAATACATTTTGTGAGTCCAGGTCGATGCCTGTCTGTTCTTTTTCCCCTCACAGTTACTTATTCTATGCCACACTATACATGTGACAGTAAGAGAAACTCAGAGTTGTTTCTCTTCTTCCACCTCGTGGGCCCCAGGACTTGCGCTCAGTCATTAGGCTTGGCTGCACACACCTGTCTCCATCTGGCCAGCCCTTCCTATTCATTCTGAAGTAAGTGAGGAGCCTGGCACCGGGAGTACTGGATTCCCAGAAGCCTTGAGAGATTGTGACTCACGCTTTGGAACTGAGTGGGGTAAAGGGAAATGTTGTTGGGTTCAGGTTGCAACAACTGACTAGGTAGAGGTAGGCATGTCCTGGTATCTGGTAGGTGCACCCAGACCAGAGTACAGAGCCACCCCAGAGACCAAGTCCACAGGATAAAGAGATGAGCAGTGCCCGTCTGTATAGCATGTCCCACCTCAAAGCTGGTAGGAACCAGACATGTTCTGACCAGTAGCCAAGAGTCTTCATGTAAGGGACCTGTCTTTCTGAGATGTTTATTGGAAGCGTAGACTCACCAACCATATGCCTGGCTGAAGGACAAGCTTGGTTCTGCTTGGGGACCTGCACTGAATCACTGGGAGGTTCAAGGTTGGGAAAACCTGCCCTCTGATGCTGACCTTCGGTAGCCACAGGTTCAGATCCCGGTGGTCAGCGTGGGTGTGGCTCCCACTTGGCTCACCTCAATTCTCCACGTGATGATCCCGGGGTCATTGCTCACGGCCCTGAAGGCACTGCTTAGAGACATAGTGTCTGTCTTCCTGGAACTGAAATATCACAAAGCCAGGGGTGACGCCCCTCACAGCACACAGGGAGCCATTGCTTCTCCTAGGACACACTCCCCTGTCTCATCAGCCATCATGCTGTATGCCCATTCGGTATGTCACCGTGCCCCCACCACACCATGTCACCACGGCAGTTCAAGGTCACACAGTGACCTGGCTGGGCCATCCCTGCGTGAAAGGTTTGTTTCCCACCTGCCGCTACCTTGGTTAAGAGCTCTGGTTCATAGCGATGACACGTTTCCTTTAAAACATATACATGCGTGTTGATGTGTTAAATTCTGTGAAGCTGGAGTTACAGGCAACCGTGAGTCACCAGAAGTAGTGCTGGGAATTGAAATTCCCAGTATGTGCCATCTCTCCACGGGGGTGGGGTGTGGGGTGGGGGGGTGGGGGGCAACACGTGTTCCTGAGCCTGACAATGTCGTGCTTATGTTGACCCACTGCGCGCAGTGGCTCATTTTCAGGCAGTGGCCATCTTCCTGTCACCTGGTGGTTCACGGGCCCCATAGCTGAGCTTTTTGGTTTCATTTCATTTTACTTTTTTCAAGAAAAAGTCTGAGACCCTGGCTGTGCACACACTCACTCTGTAGACCAGGCTGGCCGTGAACTCAAAGAGCTCCACCTGCCTCTGCCTACCAAGATTTGGAATTAAAGGCGTGCACCACCACTGCCCAGCACATTTTATTTTATCAGCACAGGATCTGTCCATATAGCCCAGGCTGGTCATAAACCCCTTCTGCCTTAGCTGCCTCAGCCTCCTGAGTGCTGGCGTTACAAGCGTCCACCACCAGACAAGCTTCCACCACCAGACAGGCTTCCACCACCAGACAGGCTTCCACCACCAGACAGGCTTCCACCACCAGACAGGCTTCCACCACCAGACAGGCTTCCACCACCAGACTGGCTTCCACCACCAGACTGGCTTCCACCACCAGACAGGCTTCCACCACCAGACAGGCTTCCACCACCAGACCTTTCATTTTCATACCCGCCCTTAAAAGTCTGTTTTGACCACGTTTTCATGCTGCTAAGCCTTTCCAAAACTCAGTGAACTTTCCAAAGTTCAGTGGTTCATAGAGAGGCAATCCAGACAGAACAAGTTATTTCCAAATGAAGACCCTCCTCCAAATTCTTGAGCTCCTCTTCCCAGACTCCTGGCAAGATCTTGTCACCCCTACCTGCCCTCCGCTATTATTTTTAATTTTGCAAATCATCCTAGAACAGTAATAACCCTTCACCACAACTAACATACATTAACTGGTCTTGCAGAAGAAAAGGGAAAGGACACCACCTGTACCTAGGACAAAGAGCTGAGGGTGCCAGCGGGAAAAATGGGTGTGGCCTCTTTGCCTGTCCCACACGGACCCCAGCTTCTATGGAAGGCTTGTCTTCAGTGGGCTTAGAGGTTTCCATTGGCCACAGAGCTGAATAAGGCCGGGAAGGGAAGTGGTAAGATGACCACGGCCCTTCATGCTGTTTACAGTAGTCAGCACTTGGCTGGGGTTCACACAAAAGGTTATCGTGTAGCTTTGCAAATGAATGTGCCTCCTCTCAAGTCCTACCCACAGGGAGACTGTGCTCTCACAGTAAGCCAAAGTGATCACCAGGTTGGTTTCTCCTAAGACTCAAAGCCAAGGATGGGATGGATGGACTTAGGAGAGATTAAAAGACAAAATCGCCTGGGGTCTCGTGATTGTGCAGATGTTTGATAGTTCGGGGCTTGCTAAGTGTAGCATGTCTGGGGATGGGGTATATCAAATGGTAGATGTCTGTCATCCCCAGCAGGGCCCCACCCCTTAAAAAAAAAAAAGAGCCTGACTCCACTAACTGTTCTTTTCTTGAGCCTGAATGGATAAAACCAGGTTTGGAGAGGATGTGGCATTGCCACCTAAGAACTAGGCCCCTTTGTGTGCTGCCGGCAGCAGACTAAAGCAGAGCTATGGTGCGGAACTGCCAATGTTTGAGTATTTAATTTGATAACTTGTGCTGCCCCACCCAGCACAGCTCAGAATCACCAGGAAATATTCAGGTTTCCTTCAGGCCGAGTTTTCTCACTTTAAAGTCTAATGCGTGACCCACTCAGGAAAGGGGACCAGAGCCGACGTATTTCTGGTTATCGGTAAAGCTGAACCAGCCGTGTTAGCATGGTGAATCCGAGCTCCCAGTGCAGTCCCCACATTTCCCGTGGAACTTCAGAATCCAGGAGCTGATCAGAGACCCATAATTCAGGAAATGCCACACCCAGAAAGCCCAGTCCTACCCATCCACATCAAAGCCCCCCAAAGCTGGGTCTGTTTGTCTTTCCAAATCCTAACCAGCCTCAGGGTCCTGAGGGCTACAAAGATCACAGGCACAGGGTACGCTTTGGGGATTCCAGGTTACAAGCCACTAGCTTGTAACCTACTGGGGTTTAAACTTCTCTTGTCCAATGGAGGAACAGATGGTAGGGGTCTTGTTGCCCCAAATCCATGAGCCTCAAGAATGTGCCCAACTCACTCAGTGGGCTCTACAGGTTCCCTCTCAGCGTGAAGTTTGCAAAGAGGGTCACAAACTCCTAGTTCAGTTTTTCCAAAGCTTCATCCCAGAGGACAAAAGCCAGGAAGGTGAAGCCCCCACCCCTTCACCTTCGGCCTCGTCCACACTCAGCGTTCCACTGACAAGGACAGAGTAGACCTACCTGACCCTCTGTCCTCTGTATTCCAGCAAAGCAGCAGGTGAAGTACTGATGAGCTACCCCGAAGCAGGCGGCTTTGAGTGCTGCAGCCCGGGCCAGCAATGGCCGTGCAGCGCAGACACTGGGTTATATTTGCTTGTGTTTGCATCATAACCACATTTTCCTAGCTCTGGCCAATCACAGCCAACCTAGCCCTGGGCTTGACTTATTCAAACCAGAGAGGAAAGCTTTATCTGCTCCTATTCAAAACAGCGAAAACAAGAAGAGCAGACTTTTAAAGGCTTCTTTTAACTCCAGCTCCACGCCCTGGTCTATTGATTTTTTTTTTAAAGTGCACTGCCCATCAATAATTCAGTGAGGGAGGATATGAATTTGCCATATTGTAGATATGAATGTATTATGCTGATGACAGGAGACTGACTAGAGCTCCCCTACTGTGGGTCTGGATGTTCAGGATGATTCTGGGCGGTTCTGTGGTATAAGGAAAGGTTTTGTTTCTTGGGAGTCTACACAAGTCATCCTACTATGTGCCGGAAACCATGCAGGGCTCTGACCCTCATGGCTCTGTTTGGCAGCATCAAGAGCAAGCGTGGAGCCTCCAATCCCCCAGGGCTTCAGTCTATACCCAGCAGTCAAGAGCACAGCAAGCACATGCTTGCTAAGTACCTGGGGGAGAGGGAGTTGGTTCTAACCTGGGCCAGGGAAGAGCTAATGTACTCCAACCTCTGTAACTTGGATCAGAATTCCAGCGTCTGTTCTGCTGGGTGCTATCGTTTCATGACCTGTCTGTCAGACAAGAGGAACAGTATCCACCGAGTGTTGTGTAGGATCAGTGGCACGGAAGGAAGGCAGCTCCCACTCCTGCATAGGTTTTTAAACCGGCCTTTATTAACAATTGTAATACAAATATTCCAAAAATATAAACAGACTCTTAATGGCATCCTACAGTTCAAGTTTTTGAATACAACAAATGTATCAAATCATGAAGCAAGGTGGCCTAGGATCCCACAGCCCGGTCAGACCCCTCCCCCAAATGGCATCTTGGAATTAGGCAGATCTGGGGTAATTACAGGCAAGAATCACCAGCTTACGAAGCAGGGTGGTTCTGGAGCTGACCCTGTACTAAAGGATGGGGCAGCTGGCCTGACCTGTGACCTCTTCTCCCCTGAATGTTTTTAACTAATGATGTTTTCTAGAAAGAGTGCCTGGGGACGTAGCTTGGCTGGAGAATGCGTGCCTAACACGCATGAAGCCCTGGGTTGTCCCCAGCACCTCATAAGCCAGCAAGGTGATCACACCTGTGACCCCAGCACTCAGGAGGTGGAGGCAGGAGATCAGTTCAAGATCATTCTTGGTTAAATGGGAGTTCAAGCCCCTGCTTGGGATTCATGAAACCTTGTGTGTGTGTGGGGGGGGGGGGTTTGGGGGAGAACTAAGCTATTTTTTAAAAAGGAACTGAAGAGTAGCCGTGGCTAAGTAGCCCAAAGGGTAAACGGCTTACCATTCTCACACTTGGCCAGGCTGACACACTGGATGCAGGACAGCACAAATGGGCTGCACTGCCAAGAGGCCTCTGAACAGGGCAGGGCATGGACCTGCAGGGGACCCATTTCCTGGGAATGGCTGCTGTGAGGGTCCCATGCTTTTAGTACAAAGCTTTTCTGAGCCACTGTTAACAGAGGGGGTTATACAATTACACAAACATCTTTGGGAGGCAGGAGGGAGTGGGACAGGTCCCTGGTTAAATGAAGGCGAATTCACTCAACTCCTTTAATGAGGGGCCCATGGGCCTACGGTGCCCCCTCTACAATGTGCAGAGTGGACACCCGTACCTGGCCCATTACTGAACTGGCCCTGTGTCCAAAGCTCCCCCTATAAGAGGGACAGGAACGTCAGGCTTTTGATGAGAAGCCCAATCAGACACACCCTGTGTCCCTGAAGAGGCACCTTAGAGAGCTGAACCTGGCAGGGGGCAGATTCCTGGCATGGCTTTGAGTGGGTGCAGACACCTGGTCCGGTAGTCAGGTAGTCTACTGTGCACTGGGGTGGGCTGGTGGCAGTGGAGTGACAGGCTTCAGGAGCTGGCTCCCCTCAACCTTGCCCTACTCTCCTCCCCAGCATCACTTGCTCCTAAAACACGGAACTAGCACGGGGATAGAAGATACAACATCTAGCTGACTCTGGTCCACCACGGTAGATCCTGCTTAGGTTTGGGAAGAGAGGAGCTGGTGTGGCATCTCTGTAGCAGACTGCAGGTGGTAAGAGGGATTCTGGTGGCAGACAGGCCTAGAACTGGGGTTTCATGGCACAGCAGCAGGGGCTCCCATGAGGCCACACTGGGTTTTGGTCACAGGTAAAGCATGGAGAACCAAGAAGTCAGAAAGGGACCTTAAAATTTCATCAACTCTGAGGCTCTTATTGCTTAGTCAGGACCAGCCCTCAGAGTAGCCTTGTGAGAAGATCCCTTCCTGCAGTATTAGGATGGCAGTGAGACCAAGGCCTGGACCTGAAGCCACAGCCAAACTCCCATGTTCCTGGCTAGCACCTGGAGCCCTCAGCTCACCTTGGGAGGACCCCACAGACACAAGCAAATGATGCTGGGGAAACGGCCTGTCTTTGTCACAGAAGTGAAAGACAAGGCTCCATAGCTTTGGGCCAAGGAAGTCTGCATAACGCTGGAGGAATGCCAGCCAGCTTCCACTCAGACACCAAGCTCCACCACCAGACTTTCTCAAACCCGTGGCAGGACCTAGTGTGTGGAAACTAGAAAATATTTTGACTCTTGAGTGGGAGGTGACCACACCTGAGCCAACCCACAAATGCTGACCGCCTCCAGGGGAAGCAGGAACTCCTGCCCACCTCAGAGGGAGGGAGGAGAATCCTACCCAACCCTGGGCAGGACTCAGTTAAGGCAGTGATGCTGAGGTGGAGGCTCCTTAGGGGCTCCTTGTGTTCCCAATGACAGTGACATTTCCCATTAGTTTTCTACTCTGGGGAAACTTCCACTCCGTGACTACTTTTAAAGCATTAAGATTGAGAGCTTGCAGATGCCCAGAGTACAGGGCCATGAGGACCCTCACTCAGTCTGTCACCAGAAGCAGGGGGCATTGGCAAACCAAGTAACAGCAACACCTACAACCTGGGTAAGTCCTTGTCCCCAGGCCCTGGAGAGGAAGAGAAACAGCCAAGAAGGATAGAGGCCAGAACAGGCAAGAGTTAGCCAGGACAGGACACTGGGGAAGACACAAAGGGAGAGCCCCGCCCCCCCAGCCTTTGGAGCTAATGTCCTTGCATCAGCTAGCACAGAATCCCTGAAGAGCACTTTTGGGATCTACAAGCAAGGAGACAGACATTGAGCATTTGCATTTTCCCTGTACCCTAGCCCTTCCCACACGAACCTCAGGCCCAGGACTGCAGCTCGGCCAGATACAAACCACGCCATGTTTAGAAAGAGAATTTTAAGAATTAAAAGAATAGAAACCAGCTATCTGTCCTACTCCAGGGCAGAGAGACCTCCTTTCCCATGGGAGTAAGACTATGGCTTGGGAGTGAAGACAGCTGGCCTGGCGCTGAGCCTGGGGACACAGAAGTGCCCGTGGCAGGCGTTCTGCTGGAGCCAGGAGCAGCCCGCAGGACACAGGACCTGGTGGGTCTGCGAACATGCCCTGGGCATCCAAAAGCAGCCTCTGGCCTCTCCTTTCTCCTTGGCACAGCTCTTGTGATGCTGAGGAAAGGCTGTGGTCTGGCAAGGGAGCCTACTATAGTTTTCATGGCTGTAAAGCTCAGTAGCCCACAGGACAGCAGGAAAGGAGACAAAAGACTTGGGTTGAGTCTTGATCTTTCAGCTTCTCCTCCTACTGGACACTGGGCACCCTGAACCATAGTTTACCGGATGGGCACACGCACACACATGCGCACACGCACGCACACCCCCCCACACACACCTGGGTGCAGAGAGCTCTGGGTCTGGGTCCCTGCTCTATGTGTGGGCTGCCCTACAGCTTTAGTCCAGCACACCTGGCAACTTGCAGACCCTGTCAGTCAGGCTGACCACAAAGGCACAGTGTAGCAAAGTCCCCTGTTGGGATGGCCATTTCTTGGGGCAGGAAGGCTAAGGGGCCCGCAGCTGCCCAAGGCTGGTGTAGACATCATCCGCTCCACTCAGCTCCTCGAAGACTGGAATCAGGTTCAGCAATTCTGTATCTGCCATGTCATCAAACCAGGACTGCACAGGCACCTGGGGCAGGAAAAGGTGACATTATCTGACTTTTTCTTTCCTTTCAAATGCCACTGGAGGCTGCTGTGCCACGCAGGGGTAGTGGACTCCTCTGATAAAGCCTACAGTCCCAGCCTGCAGCCCCACCCCCACCCCACCCCACCCCCACCCCCATCCCTGATGCCTGATCCAGAGCACTCACTGCATTTTCTGGGTGGAAGATGTAAGATGCAGGCGAGTTGTCCAGGATGACAGTTTTCCTCAGGTCCCTTCCCAGGCGGCTGAGGTCCTTGACATAGCAGCCCTGGTGGAACACACAAGACTCCCGGAACAGGCGGGCCCGGAACACCCCGCACCGGTCCAGGAGATCTGTCACAGGGTCAGCATACTGGAAGAAAGAGAGAAGCTTTAGCCTGGGTGTGGTGCTGGGTCCCACACCGTCTCCTGCTCCTTCCTCCCCTCCTGCAGTCAGGTACCTTGGCCAAGCTGGCAGTGAAGAGAACACATTCAAAGAGCTCCCCCATCCGTCTCAGGAACTCATCAACGTACGGCCTCTTGAGCACATACACCTGGGAAACAGAGCGGATTGCTGGAGGAACCCCATGAGGCCACAGATGCGGCACTGCCCCTGCCCACTGACAAAAAACCAAGCAGGCCTAGATGCCTATGTCTGACCCTGGGACCTCTGCCCCACAACAGACAGCTCCACCAGGTTCCTAGGCTTCTGCTGGCTCAATAGGCCCAATCCTAACCTGCTGGGAGGGGAAGCACACTTCGTCCAGGAGCCATCTTCATTGGAGGTAGACCATCAGCTGCCTCCAGAAACAAGTAATCAAGAATAGGCCTCTCGGATGACACAGCCTATCCTGGATTACTTGAATCCGGCCACAGCCTCCGAGCAGCTTTCTGGACTGGATTCCAGCAGGACAGCCTGTGTACGTCCCCATCTGGCAAGAACCCCAAACTTCCTCAAACAGTCAACCTCACAGGGTTTCTGTGAACACCACCTTTGAGGACGTGCTTGCTCTTAAAGGTTCTTCAACTAACTCACCATCCAGTCTATGATCTGCCTGCGCAAGTGTTCCTTAGGCACCATAATGCAGCACAGGGTGTGCCCAACCCAACTCCTCCTAGCCCGGATTAGGTACCAAGTGAGCAGAGCCCTCCCAGTTAGCAGTAGTCCCTCCATGCAGGCACGGATTGCTCTAGCTATCAGCCTGCCACTCCTTCAGCCTCACAAACAAGCCGCTTCCTCAGCAGTTCTCCGAAAACACGGCTCTCCTCCCAGTCTTCCCTCAGACCCACATGGCAGGCAGCCATCTAATTCAGGCCGCCTTATTAACCAGGAGTCCTTGAACACACCTGCCTATGCCAGGGCCTCATACATTCTGTATATTCTATTTCCTCAACTAGACTGCAGGGGATGATGGGCAGAGCAGAAACCCACAGCTTCGTGGCTCTGTACAGAAAGCCTGTGAAGGAGGAGGGGCTACCATTACAAACCCAAGAAAGTCTAGAGCTGAATGTCCCAGTCTGTGAAAATAGGTATCATGCATGCTAGGATGTCTACACCACTCGGACCCTCAGGCCCACCAGCATGCCTCTGGGCATGTGGCCTCTCACCCATGCCACGTGGTCCTCACTTAACCCCAGATAGCAAGGTGTGCATGGCCAGAGCCTGGATTCTTCCACTTTGACAGATGCATATGGAGCACTTACAGAACCCGGTGTAAATACCCAAAGGACAGGAGGTCAGAAAGGTCACAGGAGGGGCCTGGGCCAGGGAAGACACAATTCAGTAGCTCTTCACAAGAGGGCACAGGGAGGCCTCCAGGCGGAAACACTACTGCCAAGGAATTAAGCAAACGGAGCAAACCCTAACAGTCCTGTATACAAAGCAAGGCTCGCCCTGTCTAGTTGTCAGGGATGGTATCTAGGAAATGGAGTGTACAGACTGGAGAGCACGTGTTTTTCCAGAGGACCTAGGTTCAATTCCCAGCACCGACTCACAGCTCACAACTTAAACTCCAGACATACATGCAGGCAAAACACCAATGCATTTTTAAAAAGCCAAAGTGATGACCAGGACTATTGTATGAAAATGTCAACAGGCTGCGCACAGAGGTGATGGCAGGTGGCCCTCTGTGAGTTTCAAGTCAGCCAGAATTAAATAAAGAGACCCTATCTTGGGCTAGAGAGATGGCTCAGCAGTTAAGAGCACTGACTGCTCTTCCCGAGTTCTGAGTTCAAGTCCCAACAACCACACGGTGGCTCACAACCATCTGTAATGGGATCCAATGCCCTCTTCTAGCAAGTCTGAAGACAGCTACAGTGGGCTCACACACATAAAATAAGTAATTCTTAAAAAAATATTTAAGAGAGAGAGAGAGAGAGAGAGAGAGAGAGAGAGAGAGAGAGACCCTATATCAAAAAGAAGGAAAAAAAAAAGCCAACAGTTCTTGCACACAGTCTGACTACACAGAGAGAAGGGGGTGTTGGCTAGAGGGTGATATGGAAGATCTGGAGACAAACCGCCAACAAAACCCAAGAGGCTGATAATAAATAGTCACGAGGTAATTTCCCTTTGAGGCTGGGTGTGGGCTGCAGACAGCTCACCTGGTGCGTGGTTCCCTCAATCTCCACAGGCACTATGAAGTCAGCATTGTTGATCGGCTAGAAGGCGGAAGTGGACAGCGTCAGCAGACAGGAAACCCCTATCCCTGGAGACAGCCTGCTAAGCAGTTCTTAGCCAGCACAGGGCAAAGTACCCATCTCTTCAGGTTCCCTTCTCCTTCATCCCTATCCATCCCACCCACCACATTCTATCTGTGGGAAGGTTCAGGGCTTTTATTTTGATAGGGTCTTGCTACATAATCTGGGCTAGCCTTTCCATACATGTTTCCATGAGCTATGGACACATAGGCATACATGCCTAGCCTTTTCAAGACCACCTCTTACTGTGTAACCCAGGTTATTCTGGAACTTGTGATTTCCCTGCCTCAGTTTCCCAAACACTACGATTGTGGAAATTCCCTCCACACCCAACTTAAGGCTTTCTTGAGTTAACAAACATACCAGTCAGGAAGACCAGATATGCTGAATGTGACTTAACTACTTTCTCCACGGTTAAACGGAGACAGACATAGCATTTAGGTGGTTATCGGTGGTGGTGGTGGTGGTGGTGTGTGCGCGCGCGCCTCTGGGTATCTGTGACTCCAGCATGGCCTGGCCCCGTCCCACTGTCATTTCCATGTTCATCTATGAAGGGTGCCATGCGGACTCACCTTAAAGGAGCTGTGCACCAGCGTCTCATCCAGGTCTATGACCACACAGATCCGTCCCTGATCTCGCTCTGTCACCTCTGGGAGCAGGCAGGTCCCAGGGATCTGAAAGCAGAGCCAGGCTGCTGAGCTGTGCCCAACAAGAAGCAAGCCCAATCATCCCTCAGCACAACGCTAGGAAGAGCCAGGCTGTCTGTAGACCGTCATCAAGCAGGAAGGCCCTGCTCAAAGCAGAGAACAGAGGGTCTAAGGACGGTTGAGGCTGAGGGAACATGTGATGTCATTCTGGATGGGATGGAATAGACAGCCAAGATGGGAAGGGCATGTGCCTGTCCCCACAGCCTTATAGGCCCTGGCAAATACTAGCACAAAGGGTAGGGAGGTGCTCAGGACAGGAAAGTTAACTGTGCTGCCTGTCAGGCTAGCAGGGGCCTACAGGGCCGGCCATATTACCATACCTGATAAAACTGGTACTGGAGACATTGGAGCAGATCAGACTGTGGGAGACAAGGGATGTGGTAAGTGTTAATTTATCAACTACAGCTGCCCTAACCAAACACTGTGAGTGCTCTCCAAGAACCCAGCCACCCAGCCCCACAGGACAACGGCCTTCCTCAGGAGCTGCTCAGGAGGGGAAGCCTCATCTTTACACATACGCCCAGGCCCTCAGGGACTCAGGTCTGAGCTCCTCTCTGCAGGGTTAGCCTTTGCTTAGTTCTTCAACTTGTTCTTACAAACATCTGTGACAAACATCTGTTTCCTTGTGCCCCCTTGGTGCTCCCTGTACAGGGAGCATGGAAACAATGAACACACCAGCATAAGACACTGGGGGTGCCCAAGCATATGCGGGAGATGGAGTTACACAGGGACAGCACTAAAAATACTGTAAAAAGTACTAAATACCCTAATGTGAGTCATGAAAAAAATTAAAAGTTCTAGAACTTACAAAAACCTAAGACTGCCATTTGAACATGTTTCTTTCAAATATGGGCTAGCACTTCCCCATGGTAATATATGATTTTACATTCTGCTTTTAACAGTACAGACAGGATTACAAGTGGTTCATAGTAGCAAAGTGACAAACTGCTTTTTGTTAGTTTGTTTATTTTTTTTTTTTTTTTGAAACACAGTCTCACTACATAGCTGTGGCTGGCTTGACACTTGCTGTGTAGACCAGAGCGGCCTTAAACTCACAGGGATCCACCTGCCTCCTGAGTGTAGGGATGCTATCTGGGTTATTCAGAGCATGGCAGTTTTATGGCTCAGAAAGCAGCTCTGGACGCGAGACAATGAAATACAGGCTTCACCACCAGATATGTGCGTTCCAACCCCACTACCATCACAATTAACATGGGGTTCACTTTTCATCTGCAGTATCTGGACAGCCACCCCACAGATGAGAAGTATCAAGAAGAGCTGGGCAGTAGTGGCGCATGCCTTTAGTCCCAGCACTTGGGAGGCAGAGGCAGGTGGATTTCTGAGTTCGAGGCCAGCCTGGTCTACAGAGTGAGTTCCAGGACAGCCAGGGCTACACAGAGAAACCCTGTCTCAAAAAAACAAAAACAAACAAACAAAAAACAAAACAAAAATAAACAAATAAACAAAAAAGAGAAGTATCAAGAAGGAGACAGAGTACTAACGGAAGAGAGTTAAGGGCCTGTGGGCCAGGGATTTTCATGACACCAGGCCAGGCCAGAATGTGTACCGCACCCCATCCTGCTACCTTGGCGATGGTGTTGGCCTCCTCCTTGTGTGTGAGCTCAGTGGAAGAGCTTGACTGGCCAACATGCTGTGTGTGAAAACAGCACAAGAGGGCCTTGAAGATACTGCGGCCACGGGGCTTCTTAGGCGAGGACTTGGAGACTAGGCCTGGAGAAGGGAGGAAGGACAGACAGACAGACATTAGCTACAAGGACACTGTCAGTGTCAGTCAGCAGCTGTACACACGATTTCAAGTCTCAGTTCTGCAGGGGTACAGCACACACCTGCTCAACAGCTGCATACAGTGACACACCCCTGCTCAACTGCCTTACACACTGACAATGGAGTGTGTGAGTGTTTGTGTGTGTGTCCCTTAAATGAGGTAACAGTAGTAATCTCTGTATGTGTGTGTATACGTGTGCACACTCGCGAGCGCCTCCCTTGAATGAGGAAACAGTGAATCCCCACTCTCTGGCTTGGGGAGACCTGAGCTGCACAGGACTTAATCTTCATGCTATGGCAGGTCTCAAGAGGATCTCAAGCTAGGCTGGGTGTTCTGTGACCCAGTACCAGCACTGCCATCAAAATGAGTTTGTGAGGCCCTAAGGTCCTCGGGCAAGCAAGAGAGCAACCTAGTCCCCTGGGTCTGTGGAACCATGAGTCAGATCAATGTCAGCTTCCCTAGACCCTGGATCCACAGCCACAGAACTGAGTCCAAGTTGCTTAAAATCTCAGAGGTACCCCAAAATGGTTTGAGACGGTTGTGGATAAAGAAGCTTGCCACCCAGCCTGACCAACCGTGCTCCATCCCACATGGTGGAAAGAACCACTTCCGACAAGCTGTCCTCATGCATGTGTGCATATAGATGAGTGTGTAAGCATGCACACACATGTGCACACACAAAGCTGGACTTAAGAAAAAAAAGGAACCCTAAACCTCAGCTCCAGTTAGCTGACTGCATCTGAATCTGTGTGTCCTTTTCACAATCTAGCCACTTTCCTTAATACTTCATTGCTCACCCAAACACCGTCTTCCCCAGCCCCACCCCAGGGAGCTGGTTGAAAAGAGCTGAATTAAGACCCTAGGTCATGACACAACACAGCTTCCAGTCCGAGGCTGAAGCCTGTTTCCAGACTGCAGTCGCTCTCTCTACCCTGATTATCTGGGCTTTGGTAATACAAAGCCAGTTTACCAGGAAGCTCAGCGAGGTAGCCAGAAAGGCTGGACTGAGAGTGCATTACAGGACCCAGAAGCAATGGGTCTGGTGACTTACACAAGGAGCTGCTGAGGGGGCAATGTGGCCAGGAGATGGCGCTGTCACCCAGTCATGGAATGGTCTCATCTACAGTCTCTTCTGGAGCGGGGTCTGCATGTCCCAGAGCTACTTGAGAAACAGGCTGGTCCACTTTAACAAACTGGACAAACTACTGTGCAGGCAAATAAGCGCCAGAAGTGCCATGTGAGGGAAAAGCAGAAAGACCCCTGGCCCCAACAGCTTTCCCTATGTTCTTCAGAGGGGAGAGAAAAACCACACAGTAGTGGGGGCCACACACTGGCAATTCTTGCTCCCTCTGCTCCTGTGGGAGCCCCCTTACTGGAGTAGATGACACCAGAGACATACATACCCACCGACCTGGCTGCCTGAGACCCTGAGGAAGAGGAGAGAAAACCCAAACAGTTCCCCAGATCAAGGGTGGAGAAAAGGTCCCTACAGAGCAGCCAACACAGCAGTCAGTGAAGTACCCTCTCACTTGGACAGTCAGCCTGCCTAGTGTGTGATTTTTCCCCTTCTTCGGTAGGCTTAGTGTTGTTACCCTTAATTTTGGTATGGACGCTGGGGACCTCTCCAAAAGTAACTGAGCCTTTCCAGAAAATTGTCTGAAAATGTGGGCATCACTTTTTTAAAATGTGAAGTTAAAGGACACATTTTTATGTGAATTCTCTCCTCCTGTATGTGGATTCCAAGGTTCAAGGTCAGGTTGTCAGGACTGCAGAAGAACAAGCATTTTCACCCCTGAACCATCCTGCCCGCCCCTACGGCATCATTTCCACAGTCTTGGCTACATGGGAAGAACCAAGATTTCTTTGGGCATTCTGTGGTGAAGTTTTTGCTGAAAAAAAAAAAAAATCTGTCAAAGCCTTCTCAAAGACCAAACTCAAAAGCTCAGCGGAGGTGGGATAGCTGTCTGCTCCTTAGGAAGGACCCTCCAGATTCCTAAGCAATTCTGCAGAAACCAGAAGGAAGGGGTTGCTCCACCCCTCCCCGTGTTGGCCGCACTTAATTCAGGGCTCAGGCCAGATGCAGATGCAGAGACAGAGCTCCAAGACCAGAGCTGAAGCTTTTCCTTTGGTTTGTTTCTTTCTTGCACAAGCCACAACTGGAGGCGTAACCCAGGCACAGTCTTTCTTAAAAGACCACACAACCCAGGCCTTTCCTCAAGAGAGGCCACATCAGGAGTGTGCTCACTGTCACAGCTACCAGCTCTGTGAGGATACGAATCCTGAAGCAGCTGGCTGGGGCCAGGGAGAGGCTTGCCTATGTCCACTGCAGGAGGCCCAACAGACACAAGTTCCTAGGCCAATACAGAGACCTTGAACTCTGGGGGTGAGGGGCTTCTCTTAGGCAGTGTGACCAACAGCCTCTGTATCTCAGGAGATCAAAACAGCCCTGCCCTTGAGTGCAAGCCCCTGAAGGAAACACCCCACACCCAGGACCAGAGACCTTGAACTCTAGGGGTGAGGGGCTTCTCTTAGGCAGTGTGACCAACAGCCTCTGTATCTCAGGAGATCAAAACAGCCCTGCCCTTGAGTGCAAGCCCCTGAAGGAAACACCCCACACCCAGGACTGCACGCTGCTCCCTTCAGGCCTCACCTGACAGCAACCTTTATGCAGGCTGCTTTCCTTACTTTTTCAAACAATACTCCTGAGGGGCATCAGGGCTGGATTCAGCCTCCCCCAACGTGGCTGCTTCCCTGCAGGGCCAACAATAGCTAGCCTTACATTCCACAGCCTTTGGTCTAGGTATGGCAGGGGTTAACAATGTCACCAACTGACTACACTGCAGGGCCTCTAGGGCTTGCCCCTCCTACAGAGCTCGGTCCCCAAGAAGCCTTCATTCTCATGCCATAACCCCCATGTGAGGGAAGGAAGGCGGTGCTGCAGGAGCTGAGTGGCCGCAGCCATGCTTACTGAGCACAAGAGCAATGCCAGGCCTTGTGCTGGACACTTGCTGTCAGTGCCTCACTAACCCTCAGTAGGAGCTCATTTGTAGATCCTGCTCCCCATCTTCAGGAGGCGGATACACTAATATCACAGCCTGCTGGGGTCATGCAGTGAGAGCCGAGTGAGAATTTGAACCCAGAGCCAAGGCTCGTGGCCACTCCCCAACAGCATCTAGACAGCGCCACACCGATCTCTCTCTCTCTCTCTGATTTTTTTATTTATTTGTTTTATGTATGTGAGTACACTGTCTCACTCTTCAGAGAGAAAGGAAGAAGGCATCGGAACCCATTGTGAGCCACCATGTGGTCGCTGGGAATTGAACTCAGAACTGCTGGAAGAGCAGTCAGAGCTCTTAGCCTCTGAGCCATCTCTCCAGCCCCCACCCCCACCCCCCGGGGGTCGCGCTCTCTCTTTTTTTTTTTTTTTTTTTTTGGTTTTTTGAGCCAGGGTTTCTCTGTGTAGCCCTGGCTGTCCTGGAACTCACTCTGTAGACGAGGCTGGCCTCAAACTCAGAAATCCGCCTGCCTCTGCCTCCCAAGTGCTGGGATTAAAGGCGAGCGCCACCACTGCCCGGCTCACACTGGTCTCTTATAGGAAACATTTGCTCTGCTCCCCTCCAGGACGAGCCTCACCCCTCACCACCCTCCTCCATATTTTTGGGCAGGTCAGCGAGGTACAGAAGGCAGCGAGGACACGAGGCTGAGCCATAATCCCACTTCCTCCCAAAGCCCTGTGTGGAAGGCCTTCGGCCGGCTGGCTGGCTCCTCAGTCAGTACTCCTTACAGTCAGTGCTCCACAGGCATCCCTGACAAGTGCGTCCCTGCCCCCACCCAGCCCAGCAATTCCTTTCCAAGGGTAGCTAGGTCTTCCCCTCCTTTCTGCTCTCCTGGTCCCAAGCCTCTCAATGTCCAACAGACCAGCAAGGGACAATGGGGGAGGAGCCAGCTCTAAGTAGAAGAAAGGGCTGAGGACTAAGGACTACAACACCCTCCCAACACCCGCCAAGGCTGCTAGGGTTCCTCATGAGGCAGATTATGGACAGAGGCCGCCAGCGAGGTCTCCCTCCACTTGGTACTGTCTGGGTTGGAGCCCAGGCTCTGCTGGATTCAACCATGAAGCCTTACTTTCTTTATCCAAAACTTGGGTTAATAGCAAGACCTCACTCAGGACAAACAAAATGCATGAGTAAGGTCCAGGGTAGCCTCTAAGACTAAAAGCTACACTAACCGGCAACAGCCTGGACCTCTTTTGTAGGCCTCAACATGGATCACTAGTTGGGGATGGCATGGGTCTCATTCCAGGAGAGCAACAGGGAACTGGGGGCCCTCCCTTCCTCCTCGTGTAGTTGAAATTCAAGGTCAGATGAGGGATGTGTGACCGGGAGAACCGCCCCCCCCAACTACTCCCCACCAGCAAACCGTTCGTTCCCACTCTCCGCTCCGATGGATGGTGCTCTGGGTATGACCGGCATCACCTGATACAAACACCACACTCTCCCCTACGCACCGCCACAGCAGTAAACGCTCTATAGAAGCCTGTGCTTGCACACAAACAGACGAAGCCTGGCCTTACCAGGATGACATTATTTTTAACCTTCTGAAGGTCTACTTGTCACAGTTGCCAACAACAGTTATGAATCCCGGTAAAGGAGCTCCTCACAGGAAATTTGCACAGCACCGGACAGGCAGAAGGCAACTCCTTAAGACCATTCACAAACAAGGATACTTTCCTGGCTCACTCCCTGCAACATCCGAGCTCCCCCTCAGCTCCCATCCTACCCCAGCAGAGGGCAAGGCTGGCCTCACTATAAAATGGCCTCTCTGAGCAGCCTCCCTCCCGAGCTATTGGAGGAAGGAGAGTATCTGGAGCATTTCCGGCCCTTCTTGGCCAGCTGCCTGAGCCCTGCCGCCAAGACACATCTGATTGGGGCTCCCTGTGGAGAGG